GAGATGAAATTTGGCCAATTTTTAGGTTAATTCCAATGCACGGAAGATGAATCAAACACTTACATTGGAAACACTTGGTGGTCTGATCGGGTTTAATGTTTGATTTCATTTAGTTTTCACTTCATTAGTTCATTTTTGGATGAAGTTTTTTTTGTTCAATTAAGTTCAGAAAATACGAATTGGCAGATGTATCAGATCGTTTTTAAACTTTAAATTATTTCTCTATTAGTCCAGAAAAAATAACAATTTTTAAATTGTTTTGATAAGTAAAAAAATTGAACTTTCGTTTCCATTACATTGGTTTCATTTTTGGTTTATATTTATCGTTGTTCAATCTTGTTTAGGAAGAAATACGAACTGTCAGAGAAAAAATTCATCTAAAAGCGGGCATTGTGAGCAATTTCCTTCAAATACGGAATGTAAGAACCATCATGGATTGTTTTGTCAAATTTGTCGATTAATCTGATCAATTTTTTATCTGCCATTTCGTATTTTTTGCGTCGACGGTCAGGATCATTGCCGGCTTCACATTGTGCGATAGCCAATTCCGTGATCTCTTGTTCCTCCTTGAGCTTCTCAATGAACGTAAATAAATTTGGGTGTTTGCCCCACATGCTGTTGATTTTGTTATGCCAACCTTCCACATTGTTGTTAGTACGTGGGAAACCTATTAATGAAAATATTTGTTACCAACAACAACACGAACGAAAAAAAAACGTAGTAAAATATGTACAATAAGTTGTAAACATACCTGCCAATGTGTTCTCGTACACGTTCCAAACTGGAATGGCGAATCGTGGACTTTGTTTTTTACCTTTGCGGTCAATGCGATAAATGTAAGTTGACTGGAAATAATCCAATAGCTCGTCAATCTTCGGATCATCTGAATTGAAAAAGGCGGTTTCAACCAGCTCTTCGTATGCTTTGATGACGTCATCAACTGGTACAAATGCTAATGCGACCAACATCCGTAGATTCAAAGCGAACTCCTCATCCTCATTGTATTGCTTCTGCAAACCGACTTCTTGAATTTTGCGCCATACACTTTGGCCGAAATGAAAATGACAACCGTGGAGATCGGCAAGTGGAAAATACCGAGTAACAGAATTCATAGCAGCCATTTCAAAGTCAACCATAAAGTCAGTGGGATTGATGGGTGCCAAACGGAGCATGAACTCGAAAATTTCATTGTATGTCTCTTCCTTCTTATTCGACATAAGAATGAATACCGATGGTAAATGCCAACCACGTTTAAGACCTGAGAAGTAGCAAAAATCAAAGTAAAATTTATAAAAATATGAATGAAATATAAAAATATATATAAAAGTATAAATAATTTTCATCTTGAGATAATTTTCTCACCGTGAATGCTATATAGTTGGCCGAATAGTACTGGTACCACAGAAAATGTACCATCCATGAAAAGTCCATCACATTCTGTCAAAAAGTTCAAATTGCCTAGTGTCGTAAATATTAAGGTTCGATCAGCAACCAACTGAAGTTCACCAGCATCCAGTTCGTCGAATGAATCATAGAGCAAAAATGGATCTCCTTTCAGTGTGATTCGATAATTGGGTGGAAGAACCAACTCGGCGAAATTTCGTGGATTTTTTGGTGCCTGAGGATCTCGACGATAATTGGTGACCATGCGCGACATAGTTCGTTCGCTCGGCAAAGTCGATCGGGTTGCATTTGTGATGCCTTGAATGCTCGCAATAATCACTTGGCGTTTTGACATATGCGTTGTTTTCGAAAGAATCTTGAGCTTTGTCATAACTTCTTTCTTATGAAGTTTGCGTGAATCGCCTGAGTGTAAGTGACGTCCTTTCAAAATGTAGTGGCGTTGATCATCAACCTCAACCGGCTTGTGCAATCGTGCACGACATCCGTGTGAGCGTGACCTAATTTGACCATAATGAGTGTTTTAGTTAGAGTTGAAATGTTTTTTGGAATATTAAAAAAATCACCAGGAATCAGTAAAAAAAAACACACACTCTTTAATAAACACTTTTATAACAATCACATCTTAAACTAAAAAACTTACGTGTCACACATATAATATTCTGTGCCGTTGTAGGTTTTGTCATACCGGTACTTGTAACCCTCGAAAAAAATCGACTTTTTAATTCCCTTGTTGCTCACGATGACTTTCGACATTTTGAACACGTTAAATTTTCTTCAGAAGAAAATTTAACTCGGTATACGTTAAAATCTTCTCTTAACAATTTCACAGAGAGAACTAACTCAATCCACGCCACTTTTCTTCTTAACTTTATAGAGAGAACTAATTCGAACCACTCCAAATGAGGATGAAAAACCATCTTAATGAACTTGCACATTTTCAGAAGATATACAAAATCACAACCGAAATATAAATTTTGTTTGAAACGTTTTTTAAACAACACTGCACTTTATTCCAACCGATTTATAAAATTAGGACAATAAAGTATCTGTAAAATTTTGCATGTTCAATATTTTGATTGTTACAAATATATAATATTGCACGTTATTCTTAACGAAAACAAAACTTTATTCAATAGAAAACTGTATTGTGAATGTTCGATTTACATTTTACAATTCATCCACTGTCATAATGTGAACTCTTCATTAAAAATAAAACAAATGTCAAAGTCTCGAAACACTTTATATATATATAGATTTGAATGTTTCTTTAGCTGCGTTGTTTCGTTTTTGTTGACTAAACAAATCGACAGATTTCTGTGCGACTCGTTAGTGTGTAAAGTCACACATACACACAGACACAGAAAAATAATATTCAGATTTTTAGCAACTTTATACACCTGCTCACTCTATCCTTTGTGCGTTACCGATTATCAATACAATATTCAACACAGAACAAAATAGTCAAGAACAGTCGTATGGCACCCACACATGCGTAGAATTGTCATTCTACATTGTATGAGTATACATAACAATCTGTAACGAAGTGAGCAAAGTGTATCAACCGAGTTTTTGTCACGCTCATGCCCATTGTTCATGTTAATATTATCTTTTTGTGTGATTAGCACTATAACGTGCTAATATGGCATGTTGTTCATTCAAAGAACGTCTGTAATAGGGTATTTCGATTTTGGTGTTTGTGCAAAGTTTTTTCTGAATCAATAGCTAAAGGAAGTAGAATAATATATGCCATGCATACACCCTACAAAATTAAATACATATGTACGGCTGGTAATAAAAGCGACTTTAAGCAGAAAAAATCTTAAAAGTGTCTCATAATTTGTACAGGATTTACATAAGATGGAGACGGTTTAAAAAAACTTAAAGTCACTTTTATTCTCAGCCGATCATATATACTTCACACACATAGATGCATATTTTATCTGTATGAAATCAGATAAGAAAACACAAAAGATCGAGTTTCTGTCTTCAATAAAAACACATACAGATGTGACAACTCTTCTGAGTTCAATTTTTTGTAATACATGTTTAGACAACAAGAATGCTACAAAATATTATTGACGTAATGTTCTTGCTGATATTGAAATTTTTTGTTTTGTTATGTTATTGTTTTCTATACATTTTAAAGAAAGCAAACTATTCAAACAAAACTTATATCATACAAAACATTGAAATTTCTACTGAAATCAAATTAAATTAGCATGTCACATAAACTGGGTGCGATTGTAATGCATATTTGAATGTTTAACTTATGATTAAAAGCAACAGTATCTCACTTTCAATAAGACAAAAAAATATATTCGAATACGATAATGTTATATGTCATATATATGCACTCATTTTGAGCATGATATTAGAAGCATGTTGGAAAAAATATAAACCGACAAAAAATAAACAAATGAAACAGTTGTGTTGCGAGATATATTTGTTATTTTAAATTCTGCTTAAATTTCCAAGTTTTTTATGAACTGAAGATATTCTTGAATTTTCAAAGGCGATCTGGCATTGTGTGTGTGTGTCTCTTTGTGTTCTATAGTGAGCCTTTGCATATCAAAGTGAAACAAAAAGCTAACGTTAACAAAATATAGTCTATATTTCATGCAAACAGTTTTGTAATTGTTTTCTTTCTAGAGCGTTCAATTTTTGATTAATTTAACAATGCATTGATTATATTAAAAAAATCACATTGATTATAATCTTCTAACAAAGAACACAATTTGTGAATTCAAAATGAGATCTCAACTGACATGTCCATCGTGGTCTAACAACATTTAACACTGCTATTGAGGTCAACCATCACGGTTTATTTATATATTTTACATTTTTCTGCGTTTTTTCTGCATTTTTGGTTTTCTGCGTTTATTTTTCTGCATTTTTGGTTTTCTGCGTTTATTTTGCTGCATTTTTGGTTTTCTGCGTTTATTTTTCTGCATTTTTGATTTCTGCGTTTATTTTTTCTGCGTTTTTTTTTCTGCGTTTTTTTTTCTGTGTTATTTTTTCTGCGTTTATTTTTCTGCGTTTTAGTGTTTCTGCGTTTTTACTTTCTTCGTTCCGTGAAGCTACCATGACACTAATTCGTTTAATTTTTGGAAATTGAGAAAAATGCTTCTCAAAAGCAGAAACATGAGTGTTATTTGTCGCGAAATCTTTTTAATGAACCCAGTTCGCAAGCAGCGTGCTTAACTTATGCACTCATATCCTCCTCAATGCTTTCGATGGGAACGTTCATTGGCATCGGTATCCAGCCGTAATCTTAATGTCATCGCTTAAATGGCGAACCACTTTATTTAAATTCTAGACGCCTTTTTTGCTGTGCACAATATTATATGAGTGCACAATACACGCTTATTGTTTGAAGTTTGATTGTCGATGCTGGAATACCATCACGAGTCTACTGCATAATCGTTTATTCGTTTTCGTAGGCTACTTATGCTACAAATGTGTGCAATTACAGTGTAGTGTGCTTTCATATTTTGTGCCGCTTTGTTTTGGACAGGGACGGAATGCTTTGAAGGCTTTATGTATTCCGGTAAATTAAATCATTGACTCTGAAACGTGCTTATGCGGATTTCCGTTATGAAAAACTCATTTGTTTGTGCATTTATTGACTGTGAATTCAATTTCAGAG